GGTTCTGACTCAGTAGACCTTGGCTAATCTCTAGGAATCCGCACAGTTAGCAATTACCTTGAGTGACACCGGACCACAGGAGAATCGCTGATCTATGGATGACAGAACAAAGGAAGGATCCTGACTGGACCGAGCACATTCAACTCCTCTGCTGTCTGCTCTCACACCAGGTGTTTGTTTCAACATGATTTCCTGAACTGCCTTTGCATAAACCGAGTGTGAGTTCTTATCTTTTCAGGAAACCATTGTGTTTTAATTTATCCACGGTGACTTTGGCAAGGTTGCATGTGAATGTGTAGTATCGTTGCTGCTGTTTTCCTTTAGCGTCATGCTTTTATCTTTACTGCTTATGACAACAAAAGAAAAACAAGTGAGAAACAAAAGTCCCCTAACCGCGATATAAATGGGTCAGAGATGGAAGTATTAGACGTGCTCAAATTGAGGAAGCGGGGTCCTACATTCAACAGTCTTTGGAAAGAAGCCAAACAAATCCTGGCTCAACTGAGATGCAAATGAACAAATTTTTAAAAAGCTAGAAATGCACTCATTAAAAATTGGATCTGAAAACTGAGCCATAATTTGAGAAATTTAAAATATCTTAGTGAAAGTATCTTTTTTGGAATGAGCATTTTTTTTTTAACGTACCCCTTTAGAATGTTCCATTTCTGAGCACTCTCTCATGGGCATGTATAAAAAGCCAGAGGTTCCAATTATAGTGACAGTCAGGAAACCTATTTCCTGCCCCTTTTATTTGAAAAAATGGAGGGACAGTCATTGCTCACTGAAATTACAGCCCTTGGGTGGTGGCTCAACGTCCAGGGAGCCAATCGTCCTCTTGGTTCTTCAGACATAAAGCAAAATGTGAATGAGTCCTTGCCAGCCGCGGCACTCAGGATGCTGGGTCTCCACCCTGCAGAGGATTCTGTGCTTAGACTCCTACCAGTCTACCAGTGGCTCTTGGAAATTGCCTGCTTAACGTGGCTTAGTCTTGTGGCTAATTAGATTGGAAAGGAGCGGGGACTGGAAAATAATGTAGATAACAGTTACTAGATTAGGCTGTAACTGCGATTTTTCAGAGCTTGCTTAACTCTTCTTGCATCTTTTCAATTTGAAGAAATGTATTTTGAGATAAATGGACATTTTTGTTCAGTCGTAGGAAATATTCCACAAAGATCCTCCTGTGCACTGTTCCAGTTTTGCTGTTTAATGTCTTCCCTGAATACAGTATGATACCACAAATAAATTATTGCCATCGATACAGTGAAGGTGGTAACAGTTGAGCACCGTGGCGATCCTTCATGTTGATGTTTTGTAGCCACACCCCTTCCGTTCACCTCACCATCCCTGAACTCCAACAACTACTGATCTGTTTCCCGTTTCTATAATTTTTTTCTCATCAAGAATACTAGATAAGTCTGTAGTATATCTGTGTAGATATACTAGATATCTAGTATAAGAATACTGGATAAGCGCTGGGATGGATTCCCAGTGCTGTAAAACTGTAATCTACTGGATTTGACATTGCTTTTCACTCTGCGTAATTTTCTGGAGATTTGTTAAAATTATTGCATATGTTAATAGTTCATTATTTTTATTGATAAGTCAAATTCCATGATGTGATGTAACACAATTTGTCCAAACATTCATTTCCTGAAGGTCCTATGGATGGTTTCTAGGCTTTGGCTGTTATGAATAAAGGCACTACAAACATTCATAAGCTGATCTGTGTGTATGCGCGTGCGCGTGGGAGTGAATATAAGTTTGCATTTCTATGTGATACATTTCTAAGTGTATAACTGCTGGTTGTATCCTGCTAGCAAAGTTTATTTTAAAGAGAATGCCACTTATTTTCCAAAGTGGCTGACCAGTTTACATTCCCACCAGCATTATAGAGGTGATTCAATTTTTCCATAGCTGTGCTAGCATTTGGTGGTGGTATCGTTTATTATTATTTTCATTATTTCATCCAATCTGATCAGTGTGTAGTGATATCTCAGTGTGGTTTTAATTTACCCTTCCTTATTGTTGATGGTAGGGGACCTCTTTCATGTGATTTGTGACTATCTGTATTTCCTCTTTGGTGAGGTATCTTTTGTTCATTTGGATTTTGTCCTTTCATGAATTGAATAGTTTTTAGCTTGAGAGTTATATATTTTATATACTAATTCTTGCTTGTATATGTGGTTTGCAAATATTTTCTCCCAGCCTCTAGCTTGTCTTTTCATCCTCTTAATGGGGTCTTTATATAGCAAAAGTGTTTGGTTTTGATGAGGTCCAATTTATTGTCTTCCTTTATGTACTCTTCTTTTCACATCAAGTCTAACTCCTCACTGTCCAGACCATAATCCTAAGCATTTTCTTTTTTTTTCTAAAAGTCTTACAGTTTTACTTTATATTCAAGACCATTTTAGTCTTTATGTAACATGGGCCTTTCAATCAAAGTGAGTTATTTTGCTTTTCTTCTTTGCCGGTGGATGGCAAATTGATCTAGCACCATTTGTTGAAGGCATCGGTCTTCCTCCATGGAGTTCCTTTTCCCCCTTCGCCTCCGTGTTTTATGTCCCTTGACGGACTCAGTAACTAAGAAAGAAAAACCTCTGCAATTGACTTTAATTATAATACCTCTAGGTATTTAAGAAATAACAGTTCTCTGTAATTACGGTACTAACTTTTAGAAAGCGGAACAAAAACTAGCAAACAAAGCCCCAGATCTGTTCTTATAGTCCAGGCGAAACATTTGACATTTTGGTATTTTTAAAAATCTTTTTTTGTGTACTTCTAATATAATAGAAATAATGACATAAACAAAGTTTTATATTGTTTTCCTCCATCACATATCATGAACAAATTCCTTCTGATACTCATTTCATGGGATCTGTCTGTGTTATCCTGTTGCCAGATAACATGGCATAGTTTACTATATTAATATTATGTGTCCTATCTATATTACTATAGTTTTAATGTAATGACTGTGTTATCTTATGATGAACTATATATATTTTTATATTTGTATGCACCATGTTTACTACCAATGCTATTCTCTTGATGCATAACACATATGAATTATATATTATAGAAGTGTTATAATATACTTTGTCATTCTGTATTCATCAGCTTTCCTGTTGCTGAGACAAAAGACCCTACACCTAGAATTTAAAGGAGGAAAGGTTTAATTTAGCACATGGTTTCAAGAGATTCAGCAGGTTGTGAGGCAGGAAAGTCATGGTGGAAGGGCTTGGTAGAGCAAAACTGCTTTGTTCATGGTGTCCAGGAAGCAGAGTAGGGGAGCTGTGAGTGCTGCAGAGCACTGGGCTAGGACTATTATAGTGGCGAAGGTCACACCTTCAAGGTTAACCCAGACATAGCCTGGAGTTTGCTTTGCTAATCTACTGGGCCTTTCTTAACCTGAAGTTAATACTGAATAGTTTCTAATTCTCATTATGATAACCAGTACTGCTAACATTTAAGAGTACACGCATTGGGATCTGTTACATAGCTAGCCCTCTTTATTTAGAAGTAAACTGCAACAAGAATAAGTTGATGTTCTTTGGACCACTCCAAACAAAGCAACTGGTAATTTACAAGAACAGAAGAGTAGAATAGAATATATTAAACACTGCACTTGAATTCCTCTCCCATCTGCCAGGTATTAATAGAACTGCAGGAGTTGTTTTAAATCAACTATGGTTTGAATGACCAAATGCTTTATGCAGGCATTATTTTGTTTCTTCTTAGAGAATTTTAAACATGGTGTATTTATGGATTGAATGTGTACATTTGCATATATGTGTAGTTTGAAGGTAATTTAAGAATCAAAGATAATCATGACTGAGCAAGGCTCTCCCTTCTGTCTTTGATATGGAATTTCTTGTTTGTTAGCTGTATTTTGGGTGCCTTTGCTTTTGGAGAAATTCACAATCTTTTAAGATTATTGGTGTTAAATGACTTCTAAAGATCACCAGTGGAGTAGTAATGCCCTTCGAAACTTTATCATCAATGAATGTTATCGGTAATTTAAATTCTTGTTAATGTTTAGACTTAATTCCCATTGTATTTGGTTTTTGGAGAACTTCATTTTTTTATGTGATCATGAGCTCTTTACAATTTCTCTCTTAGGTATTATTAATATTTTAATAGACTAATTTAGTTTTTATTAGGCCCATCAGGATGGTTTTAACTGCTGCCACTAGAAGCTGATTCAGACTAGCTCAGTTAAAAGTTGTAGCAATACTGGTAGTGGAGGGTCCCTGGAATATAGATTTCCAAGAAACTTGGAAGAAGGAGATCTCAAATATACGACTGAAAGCCTACAAGGAATTAAAATATCCCTTCTACTTAGAGTAGGAATGATCCAATTCTTTACCAAAGGTCCTACTATTTACCTATCACACAGTGAGTCAATATGGCCGCCAACTTCCATTTGTAACCACCAGCATTAGTCTCTCTTCAGGAAGTCATCTTAGAGTCTCTGGTGTGAATTTCCTAAGCAAGAAACTAGTTGGGGTTGATTAACTCATTGTTCACCGGTCCAGTATTTGGTCCATTGGTTGTGAGGAATCACCATATGGGGTTTCTTATTCTAAGACACGTATATGCTTTTTGGCATATTATCAAGTCCATGATTTTCAGATTTAACTGCATTTGAAATTAGATCATGTGTCCTGAATGCCTATGTTATTTGCACTAATTTGGGATTAAAAAAAAAAATCTCTGGTACTTTTTCTCCAATGTGCCCAATGATAATTGTTATTAAAACATATACCAAAATCTGCCTTCAGATTCTTACTTCCTTTTGATTCCAGTAATTATCTGCATTGTATACTTTACCCACTGTGGAAACAATTTGGTTTTTAAAACATTATTTTCCCAAAGCATCATCAGATTTTGGGCTTATGAATGTTTTACAGGTGAAGGCTTCGAAAAGAAAACATTTAAATGCAAGTGTTAGCAATAGCTGACTCAGTGGAGATGCCCCGCTCAGTCTTTGTATTTCTTTCCAGATTTATCAACGATGCTGGTTAGTATTCAAGAAAGCTTCAAGCAAGGGTCCAAAAAGATTGGAGAAGTTTTCTGATGAACGTGCTGCGTATTTTAGGTGTTACCATAAGGTAAGCCCACACTGCTGTGGCTTGGAGAAATCTATTTAAGAGGCACAAATATATGTCATTAAGTACATTTTCTATCTGAAGAGGACATGGTACCGTCGATGGTGAAGCTCCTCAAGGGAAAAGAATGAGTCTCGCTGTGACTAACGCACTGACTGAAGTGGAAGACACACTCATTCAATGCTTGGGAAACGTAGGGAGAGAAGCCGGGGGAGGGATCAGAAGACACGAGTTGGGTGGAAGAGGGGGAAGTCCCTCCCCTTAGGTGATTTCTCTAAATTTGATGGGTAAGTTTAATTTGGACTTGAAAATTTTATTTTAGTAGTAGTGAGACTTTGTGTCCGCAGCAGCAATTATGGGTTAAAACACACCATTCAGAAAGAGAACATTAAAGTAAATACAAGATTTACTTGCTGTTTGCATTCACAGATTAAGCAAAGCTTTTATTCGGCATAGCAGTGCTTCTCATGATCTTTGTTAATGTCTGGTCTGTGTGTTTTCTCTTTTCGTGAAGATGTGTAAAAGTACGTTGTTACTGCTTCTTAGTATGCTCATTATTCCCACATACGCCTCTGTTGTTTCTGGAGGACCTATATTTTGTTGTTGTTGTTTATGATGGAACATTTTAAATGTTGGTTTTTCTACGCGAAAAAGTCCTCGTCACGTGAGAATTCATTGGGGCTGGGCCTCTGCCATTTCAGATTTTATGCGCAGCCAGTAATCTATTAACACAGATGGTTGGCCGGACTAGGGGGAGGGAACAGACTTTCCTTTCCCCCTGTTTCTAGAAGCAGGGCCTCTACAACACTTCTTAAGGGCCTATTTGACCCCTTTGTTTCTACAAGGAAGAAAAGCTATAGGGAAGTTAGTTTACTCTTCAAATTAAAGGAGTGAGGTGAATGTTATGTGTTACTGGCCCATTTGTATACAGGGAGGGGAAGAAAGAATACAAATCAAGGCTTTGAGGCAAGTGGAGAAGGGAATCAAGGGCAGCATCTTCTGTGAGTTTGATTTTCCACGGATCCCGGAAGCACACCCTTCCAACCCCATTCCAGCCTCCCTGCTCCTTGTGGGAGCTCCCAAGTAGACTTCTTATGAGTTCATATTTTCTCTACCAGTTATCTTCCATATGCCAGATATTTCTACCATTCAAATATTTCTTTTTTCCTTTCTGTGCTCAAGAAGGAGTCATAGAATTGCAAATCCATTACTTAGGAGCAATGATCCATGAAGCCAGCGAGCAGCTGCAGACAGTTGTGAGCCATGCTCTCCATTTCCGTCATGCTCTAGACTACTGGTGTCCAATTATTTGAGGCCAGATGTATTATGTGCCAGTTACCCCATGTGTAGCCAGCCTTACCTAATAACAAGATGCCAGACGATGCTACAGGAATGGCTTGCTTTATTTTTGCTTGAGAGGTCTACTCTCAAAGTGAGCACCAAATGGCCAGTGGGGATATTTGGCTCATCTGTTGGCCAAACACAGGGCTCAGGCAGCCAGAAATTGCAGTTACGCTTCAGCGAGTCTCCCGAGCACCTCAGCCAGCCTGTCCCCTTACAATGCACTGCAGACCCGTGTGCTACTTGCTCCTTGTGTGTTGGCACTGATGCCTTTGAGTCCTTCCTTGTTTTGGGAGAGTTCCAAATATACCCAGAAAATATCAGTCTTTCTAATTCCCCATGCTTAGCTTTCTGAAGGTAGAAAAAGGAAGAAATAGGTCCTATTTTCCCGGTAGAGCCATGCACACGTACGAGAAGAAAGGCTGAAGGGGATGGGCACTGCCCCAGTTCAGTCCATCTCCGGAGGTGCTGGCCCTGTGCTCAAGCCGGGTCCAGACTGAACACTGCCCGCAGTCTGCACTGGGTCCCAAGCCCCTGGCCTGGTCATTCTCGACCCTCTTCAGTCTCCGTCACATCACGATACCCTTCAACTCAGGTCCTTCAGTCCAGTTCTTGCCATGGCCTGCAGGAGCCCAGGATTTGACTCTTGTTGCCGGTTGAACCCCATCTGCCAGTTTCTGCAGTCCCACTTTCTCTGTTCCAGGTACCTCGAGGTCTTTGCTTTCTTCAGGCAATGCCAAGCACGCTCTTACCCTTTATTGCCCTTCTAGTTGCTTCCCCCACCCAGTTCTCCCACCCTCCACACCCACGTAAGTCACTCCTTTGACATTGTTCCAGTTCCTCTCTAAGTGAGGCCATTCCTTGACCGCCTGATTTAGAGTGGAATCCACCTACACACTCCTTTCTAGTCTCTTTTTTTAAAAAATTTTTGTGCTTTGCACTTATTGCTATAGACATCCTTGCCTGCTATTTCCTGTCGTCTCCCTGTCCCCAGCTAAACTCTACCTCCCCACCATCACTATTAATTACAAGTACCTTATACATAGTAACACTTTTAAAAGTCTGGCTAAAAAAACCCCAATATTATCAACGGAGGAGAAGGAATATATATATATATA